GAGAGAGAGAGAGAGAGAGAGAGAGGGGGGGGGAGAAAGAGAGAGAAAGAAAAAAAAGCGAGCCGATGGTTTCCACGCACCGTGTCCCGCGATACCGCTCACAATTGGGCGTGCGCGCGGACGCGAGATAAAGAGCTCACACGAGGAGACACGGGAGAAGTTTCCGAAGTTCTCGGGACGGACCGGTTCTGCAACCCAGATGTATTAAATCACGAGCTTAGTAAAGTTAGACGGCTTCAAAGCGAGGTCCCCAGCAGCAGGTCAATAGGATGCCCTCAAGGTCGCCGCTCTTTGGGAACTCTTCTTGCCGCCTGCGATTGCTAAGCGTCTACGTTCGCGGTGCATGATTTTTTTTTTTTTTCCCCCCTCTTTTGAAGCCGCGCGCAAGCCGATCTCGTCAGCTGAGAGACGAGACGAGACGAGACGAGACGAGACGAGACGTTGACGATATCGCAACGGTCGTCTGAAAATAATTTAGCATCATCTCTTTTCAAAGCTATTACGAGGCATCGAAACGCATCGGAGGCAAAGATTAGCTTTATCTCTCGTGATAAAGATCGACTTTGAGAGCGCGAGGAGAATCTCAAGGTGTCCGTCGATTGTCGATTATCACCGTCGTACATCGCGTAATCACACGATCACGCGGTTGTACCCTTCCTAGAGGTCTATCTTGTGTGGGAACGTCTTACGTATGCGCGTACTCTCCTTTTCTCCAGATGGACGATACGCGCCTGCTCTACCAGGTTGCGTATACTCTCACGACAATGCGTTAGGGGAGGATGCACGCTTATAAATGCAACGTACGCAGAGTTGTTCAGAGTTGTTGTCCTTATTAAAGGTATGATGCGATTCGTTTTCCTCCCGTACTCGCGACGCTTTTAATTAAAAGCGCGACGTATCGCGCGACGTATCGAGCGGAATTTCTAGGCAGAAGAAACGATTTTATTCGAGTACCGACCTGAACATCTAAAAATTTAGTTGGATGAAAATAAATTTGCCATCAAAATAATTGTGCTTAAAAAATAATTATATCGCCAACATTTTTGATATTCTAGTAATCAATTGGAACGTCACAAAAATATTTTGATGGTTCCAACAAAATTATTCTCGATTTGTATCTGATCAAATTTTTAGGTACTACTCTTTCCACGCACCCTAATTCTGTTAGACTCGAAAATATATACGAAGCGATACTACTAAATATAAATCATAATATTAATCATAATATTTACGACAGGTGAGGAATCCCTTCGTGCATCTTGCGTCGGAAATTCTAGAATTCGACACGGTTAGGAAGGAACGTGAAGCTTGAGAATCTCAGTTTATCTACTTGGCTGCTAATTGGCGTATTAATTAAGCATCTCACGCTATACTGGTTACGCGAAACTATCGTAACGGCGAAATTTTCATCCCCCTTACCTTCCGCGTTTTACAAGGTGCGAAAGGGGAATGGGGTGCAAACCGCGAGTCGGATAATCATATTCCGCGACATTTCGTGCCCACGTTCGAATTGATGCATATCGCATTAGCGTGACTAGACGGTTCGGTGCAGCCTCTATCTGTAATTCGATGGCTCGTACATGATGCGTAGAGCTCTCCCTCCCCTCGTACCTCGTGGATTATCAATTTATCTGGGCACGCGCTTGCACATTGATAGCGGTGAACAAGAGCGCGCGGAATTTCTCTCTTTTACGTTTCGCTTTAACAACTCGCGTTTATTGTTCATGATTTCAATTGCGCGACAGCGTATATTAAACATTCGCTGGGAAACGTCAATGTAAACGTCAATGTAAACGTCAATGTAAACGTCAGCGGAACGAAACGCGCGGCCACAAACACAACGACGGAATCATCGCGGCTAGTCACCGATATTTTCATTATGTGATATAAGCGAGCGGCAAATGTTTCTAAATTATCCGTCCATTTCGCTCGTGCGATCGGCAGCAAACATTAAACCAATTCTTTTCCTAATGATACGATAGAGCTATTTATAGTCTTCGGGCCACAGAGAGAGAGAAAATAATGATATGTGTATAATCTGTGAGAGCAAAACAAAAGAAAATGAATGATCAAGTTACATATGTATTTTAGCTCAAAATGAATTTCGATTCAAATGGAATACTAGATTAAAATTTATTTAAAAAAAGTACACAACGCTAAAAATTGAAATGACGCGATAAACGATAACTTTTCTCCACGTTTTTGCAAAAAAAAGAAAAGGAAAAAAAAAAGAAAAAGAAAGAAAAGAAAAGAAAAGAAAAACTCGTGACGTTCGTGGAAACAGTGATGACCGAGAGGAAACGTCAAGCGAATTAATTTTACGGCTAATAGCCGTGAAAATGAACTCTATTTGGCAGGAACAAAATCCAAATCGAGAAGAAAATATATCCTTCCGCGAACTCATTGTTTTCTCTCAGAAATTCCGGGAAAAGCAGGAGAGGAGAACGC